TTTTAATTTGATTGGGAGTGTTTGGCACACTTACTTTTAAGGCAATTATTGATATGGTTGGGTTTAACCTACCATTTTACTATATGCTCTCTGTTTTGTTCCCTCTGCTTTTTGTCCTTCTGTTTCTCCTTTTTTGCCTTTTTTTACTTACATGATGTGTTTTGTTTTGTTTTGTTTTTAGAATTTTATTTTCAACTTGCCTTTTGAGTTTTTGTTATTCTTTGCAGGATTTTTGGTGTGTGTTCTGTGGAGTAGAATATATATACTTAAATTTCTTATTGTTTATTTGAGATAATATTGTGCCATTTCATCTACCAGATCCATTTAACCACACCTCCTGCCCTTTACATTACAGTTGTAAAATGTATTAGATGCATGACAAGGTAAACCTGGCATTTGATAACATTTTGCAGAAATTAAGATGAAAAACAGTCTTTTACATTTACCTACATATTTCCCTTTACTCCAGTGTTCTTCAGTCCTCCCAAAGATGTAAGTTTCCATCCAATCTCATTTCCCAAACCCTAAAGATCTTTAGAATTTTTTTTTTTAGTGCAGGTCTATTGGAGATACATTCTCTTAAATTTCCTTTTATTTTAAAATGTCTTTACTTGATTTCATCCTTGAGGAATATTTTTCCTGGATATAAGATTTTTGGTTGACAGCTTTTTCCTTCGAACAGTTTCAAAATGTTGTTCCATGGTTTTCTGGCCTCTGTTGTTTCTGATGAGAAATTATCAGTTATTATTCAAATAATTGTTCCCCTGTATAGATAATGTGTCATTTTTCTCTGGTTGCTTTCAATATTTTCTCTTTGGTTATCAGTAGTTTGACAATGATATGCCTAGAGATTTAAAAATTATTATTTTTATTATTATTATTCTTGGGCCTGACATTTGTTGAACTTCTTAAATTTGCAAATCTGTCTTTTACCAAATTTGAGAAGTTATCAGCTAGTATTTCTTCAAATTTTTTTTTCTGCCCCATTATTTTTCTCATCTTTCTCTGAGAATCCAATTACTCATATGTTAGACTCCTTCATATAGTCCTAAACACTCATGTGGCTCTGTTAATTATTTTCAGTCTTTTTTCTTTGTGTTTTTCAGGCTGGATAATTTCTAGCAAACAATATTTAAGTTTATTGACTCCTCTTCATTCTGCTACCAAATTCATCCACTACATTTTGCATGACAGTGTGTATTTCAGCTCTTAAACTTTTCCTTTTTATATATATTTTCTATTTCTTTAGTATATTTACTAACCTTTAGGTCATGATGGTTATATTTCCTTTACCTCATGGAGCATAGTTATAACTGCTGCTTTTAAAGCATTGCTTGGTTATTCTAACATTTAGACATCTTAGAGTCAGTCTCTATTGGTTATTTCTCTTATAAGAATAGATCTAATTTTCCTGGTTTATTTATTTATTTATTTATTTTTGGATTGTGAAGTAATTTTGGATTACAGTCTGAATGTTTAACTATTACATTATAAAAACAAGATTCTGTTGTATTCCTCCAATGACATTGATTTTCTTTTTAAATGGGTAATTAATGTGGTTAGACTCAAACTGCAAAAATGATATTGATTGTAGTAGTAGCACCCCAAAACCAAATTCATTTTTGTTTTCTTCTTTTTTTTTTTTTTTGCCCTTAGCTGGGCTACTTTGAGTCTGCCTTGTACAATCATGGTTCAGAGATTATGACGTAGAGTTTAAACACAGAATATAAGCTTCTTCCTCTCTGGCTCTCTCTTTTCTGCTATTTCCCACCTCACTTGCCAAAGGATGTGGTTGCCTCAAAGTCTGACCTCTGGTTCTTCAAGCCAGAAATATTGCGCACTTTCTAACTGAGTTTTAGTGAGCCCCACACTCGCAGACTTGGGTAGTCTCGGGCTAAAGGCCATAAGATGTGGGAAAACTCAGTCCATACTCTTCCCCTTCTTCCAAGTGTTAACTCTTCTCCAGAATCTTTGTGCTTTTGTCAATTCTCCATGGCTTTTAAGGTTTTTTTTAATGTTCTTTCCTACTTTCTAATGTTTTTTTACTGTTATAAGCAGGAGAGGCAGTTTAATAGGAGCTGTGACTGGAAGTACACTCCCTACACTTATATTTTGAAAGAGCTAAGTGACTGGGTTCTTGGGAGAAAATAGTAGGAACTCTCTCTTTTTTTTTTTTCTTTGCTAGATTAGATTTCTCTCTAATTAAATATTCTTCTGAAACAATCCGGTTTTTCAAAAGATTGAAATATATTTGCTTTAGACTTAAATCTGATAATTGATGAAAAGCTGCTGAAATCATGTAAGATTAATCTATTATCTTAAACAGCAGCTTAGAATGAAGATTTATGAGTATTAATAACACTATACTACTAAGAAAAGAGTTTTAGGCAAAAAAGAGGATTGGTCAAACTAGTCCTTGAACTTCCTGTGACTTTGTTCAAATGCTACGAGCAAAGTTTATTTGAGGGAATTAACAGTAAGCTACAGCTTTATCTTTGTGATTCCATTTGTGCTTAAATTAATTTCATCTAGACTGAAGTGAAAACTTCTTAAAGTCACTGCCTTCTTTATTCTGTCTTTTCTGCTCCTTAAATATAGCCTCTTTAATTCTAACACAACAGCAATTATTTTGTCCATTATCAAATGTTATCAGATGATACTTAGTCACTTTGGAATAATACTCAGGTAATTTCCACATACCCCTGGCATTTTGTGGGAAACAGGTCAGGCAGTAATGTTCATTCAAGTTCAACAGAAAATAACCAAGCTAAACTGGAATAAGATGAAAAACTTAGAGTAAGAAGGGGAGAGATGTTATGAAATTTATGTTATTGGATTGTAGCAAAAATAATCACAGGTACTTGTTTTCCTAGAAATTATTGGAACATGATGCCTGAAGATGAGGATATAAATGTTTTGGAAAAGAATGACAACAGACAATATCTTTTGAAAATGCTCCTTCTTCTTAGAAAGAAGAAATAATAATAAAGATTATTCACTTACTTGGAAATGTAGACTTACATGCACAGTTGCAAAATTATAACGCACACACACAGATGCTCACTAGAAGAACATTGTTGGGGGAATGGGGACACAGTAGGAAAAAAACATTGTTTATAATAGCAAAGACTAGTGAAAAGCTAAAGATCTTGCAATAGAAGACCGAAAATTCCTTATGATTCATCGTTTCAAATAAAGGGAGAGTACGTGCTGTATGTGGTGCTCTGGAAATGTGTCCAAGAAATATAATTAAGTGAGAAAAGTAAGAATCAGAAATGTGTAAGTGGTGTGTTCATGCATCTGTTTAACTTGCTGCTATTTGTGGGTTTTATATGTAAGCATGTTTCGAATGGTATTAATGAAATTGGTGATTATGGTTGTTCTTGGGGAGAAGGTCTAAGAAGGGGGGATGCTGTGTAAGGGAGGCTTGTACTTTTCATTTAAACCTGTCTGTGCAGATTAGTTTTATTTTTACCATTTGTTTTTATTTTTTAAAGTAATAATTTAAAAAATCAAAGAATGCAAGGAACTTAGTTTATTGTTTGTTTTGGCTGTTCTACTCAAGTTATAATCAATTATAATCTCTCTAAGGATGTAAAAGAAACACAATTAATTGCTTCTGGGAAAGAGAACCGAGGGACAGAGGGGAGAGTTTTAATTCTGTCCTTGTGTATCTTTTGAATTCTTATCCATGTAAATATATTATTTAGTTAAAGAATAAAAAATTTTAAAACATTATGATTAACAGGAACAAAAAAAATGAAACACCGATCGAGAGTGTTGTATGTGAGTTCAGCATGTCAGCCAGTGGGCTTCCTCCAGCCTGAACAGAAAGATCTGAGTCTGAGTTTAGACGCAGGCTGTGCTGCAGTTGTCTGAGGATTCCAGCTCCTGGAAGCAGTTTTAGATGTTGGCCTCATAGAACTAGGGGAGCAAGGTAGGGTGAGTTGGGGCACAGAACCCCCTATGGGGAGGAGGGGGCCCAATTTCAGGAAGTCCATGGCCAGACAACCTCAACGTCAGGGGTCATCCTCCAGATAATTCTGCTCATCTCTTTCCACTTTTTTAAAAAAAATAGCTCTCTGTAGAAAACTTAAAGTTACAGAAAAATAAAAAGGAAATAATCACTATCTGCTTATTTAAAATAGGAAA